AAAAAACACAACTTCACCAAGTGTCCAATATAACCCTCTAAATGCTTCTAAATCACAAATTTAACAGGAGTGGATTGACTTTGATCTGATTAGATTAAAATGCACCATACAGCAACAGACACTTCGTTAAAAAAATGCGGTAAATTACATTATACACTGCAAAAATGGATTTGCCCTTCATTTAAAAAGTTCATTAAAATAATGTACCAGTGGAATAATTTGGGCCTCATATGTATTACATATAATCTGCTGTTGAATTAATAGAAAATGTTTTTTATTATTATCTTAACTGAAAATATTAATTGGCAGATAATGTACTAACCTACTAAAATCATTCTGCAAATACACTAATTTCAAGATAATCTTCTTACTTTTAGGTTTCTGTTTGCAGTGGACTGAAACTGATTAGATCACTGCAGTGTCCATTTAACCAAGTCTTACAATCTTAGACCCAGCTTGATAAACTAAGAAAGAGCAGAGTCTGTAAAATTATTAATCTTCTTTTGAGGAAATACTTCTCAAAATGAGTGCAATAATCTTCCATTGCAGTCAGTCAGTTTCACACAAAACGCAAGACTTTGAGAAAATATATCAAGAAGTTTTCAAGTGCAATTGTCTCAGTGCACTGATATGGAGCACATTTTTTGCTATTATTGTTGGAAGAAAAAAAGTTAATAAATTTGCATTTGGGATTAAAGAAATGTTTTTGAATTCAATTGTAATGGACACAAAAAAAAAATGTAATACAGAAATGAAATAAAAAAAAATGTCCTAATCCAAATAACGGTTCTGAGAGTAACTTTGCTGATTTGTAGGCAACGGCGTAACTATCGGTAAGCAGAGACTGCAGTTGCTTAGGGGTCCCCCGTCACTGACACCTGGTTGGCCCACTACTCAATTGTAGAATAGGACGTCTCTTTGCAGATCTAATGGTGCGAAAAATTCCTCTTAAACCCACCTGGTACTAGATTGACTGACCGGACCTTATTTACACCCCAAAACATGGCAGATTTCAACATGATGGTGAGCCGTTTAAACACGACACCAATAGCAAAGCAGACAGTGGTACTTTTAATTACTGTTAATAACTGTGTATAGTTCATTAGACGGTTGGAAAAAAATACACTCATATGTTTCAAACCGCAATAAAGATCTTAAAAGAAAGATGTATTTGAGTATTTTAGTTTTTACAATACGACTTGGAATTACAGGTAATCCAGAGCATCGATTAAAACCATAACCGTTACGTTACAAGATTATATATTTTTTATTTAATTTTTTTAAGTTTTTTGTTTTTGAGTTTTATGAACTGCATTCATTTCAAATTGTGTTATAGATCGCATTCTCTTCCCTTTCGATGGCTTTCCTCTGGAGGGATGAGCCACTTCTACTGGTCTGCATGAACATAAACATTATTTTCAAGGGCAGGCGTTTGTATTGAGCTTCAACTGAAGAGAATGTGAAACACAATTGAAAAGAATGCAATTTGTAAAACATAATCTAAAAAAGATAAATTTGGAAATAAAATTTTGAAAGAAAAGAAAGTGAAAAAAATATTTTTGAAACTCTCAAAACCCCTATTCTTATCAATAAGTTTTTCAGTTTTATTTGTTTGTTTTTTTTTTTTTTCTTTTAATGTACAAAACATGTTCTTTGCTTACAAAAATAATGGGACAAAACTCACTCCATACCCTGGCAGATTATCGCACCTATTCAGAGTAGAATCATCTGAAAAGAATAACAATCCAACAGATGATGTTCTACGTTAGTATCTTAATCTCAAAACAACATTAAAAAGACTTTATGTTTAAATCTAAGATTTTAAGATTTGGTTTGATGGAAACGTTTTGCAGGAATTATGAAGAATCTGTGTGATGCTGTGGGCCTGTTCTTCCATCCTAGACATAAAGGAAACTAAAGGTGAGTCTTTTAGGAGATAGTTTGATCAAATCAACACAGAAATGAACCACAGACACAAAATCAACTCAAACAACTATAGAGGTAAGACTTACAAAAAGAGATGAGACTGTGGGCTTCCTTTTTTTTATTTCAGAGCTGGATAAGCTACCACAATAAAACATGAACCCGTTTTATGCCTTTTTTGTTTATACATCTTTAACTGTGATGACAATGTGACCATCTCAAGCAAATACAGTAAGAACTTTACATTACCTGAAGCCAAACTAAGCAAAACTGCAAACTACACAGGAGATAATAGCTAAATAAATAGAATCTTGCATATTTATTTGCATGGCTGATATATATACGGTGTAAAAACCGATCAAAAACTCAGCCGTGAATCGAAATCAGCAGGTCGCTGTGATTTAGGACGTCGCATAACATTCAGACAGGAGTATAAGGCACAAATATTTTACTACTAGCGTTTACTTCGAAAAAAAAAAGTTGAAGTTTTCTTCCTATAAAAGAAAAGAAAACTGCCTCTCAAAGAATTCTGCCAGACACAAAAAATAAATAACCAGGATAGGAAGGAAATCTTCTAAATATGGTGGTTACAGCAGCATTTGACAGCCATCAGTGTTTCCTCAGTTAGTGTGTCGCTGACTGTGTCGTCGGTAACTTTAAAACTAAGTCACAGAAAATCAATCCTTTATGCTGAAATCAGCGTTAATTTAAAACATCGAGCTGATATGTATTTGCAGTCTGGGTAAGCCCTGAGTTTGATTCATTTTAAAAAACCCTGCCTGCTCAGTTTAACAAGAACAGGCCTCCTTCAGATCCACCTTCTGTTGAAAAAACATTTAAACATAAAGAAGAGCTTCTGTCAGAAATGGCCACTGATATAGAAATGAATTAGAGTTCAATGTTCTGTGATGGAAAGGAAATATGGAGAGAATTACATTCCACAATTGTTGCAAGTTAAAGAAACAGTTTTGTAAATGGAAACTTTGGGCTTAAAAAAAAAACATTAGGAGTGAAGCTTTAAAATAAAAATAAAATTCATAAAAAGAAAAAGAGTAACTTTGTTATTTTCTCAGATTCATTTTTTTCTATTATTTATTTTTCACATATATATGTGTATATATATATATATATATATATATATATATAGATATATATATATCTATATATATATATATATATTTTTTTTTTTTATCACAATTTGAGAAAACAGCAAAGTTACTCTCAAAACCTGTTATAAAATAAAAAGTTTTTCAAACTTTCCCTTTTGGATTACATTATTTTTCAAACGCCCGTATACAAAACGTGTTCTTTGCAACAATAATGGAATAAAATTCATTCCATAGAAAACTACTTTTAGAAAAGGAGCATAAACCACAGATGACAATTAATAAATCCTGTGAATCCTCCTCAAACAAAAAAAACCTATAGCATAAAGAGCCAGAATGATCTAAGTAGTTTTTGATGAACTCGTTAAAATGAGTCTTGTGTTTCTAAAAAATCATTTAAAGACAAACTTTCAGTCATTTCAACATATGTTTGTATTCCTTCCCTACCCATTTTATTTCTCAACATTTGTTCTTAACTCTGCTTTGTTTTTAAACTACTTTTCCCTATCAATGTAGAGAAATATCAACATATTCGTGCCCCTGCAGATTTGTTATTTTTTGGTTTCTCTTTAGTCACTGTGTGAGATCATAAAACAATGTTGCTGCATCAGAAAAACAACACCTGGGTAAAGACAAAATTCTGTTTTTAAATGGTGATTTCATCCACTAAGCTCTCCAAACTCCACCTATAATATTAACCAAGGCAAAAACATCTTCTCTCCATAGGTCTGCCTCATACTCCACTGATTATGACTTCAGACCAACCCTCAGACACGGTGGTGGTGGAGTAATGATCTGGGGTTTAGTATCTCTGCTGTCATCTGTATTTGTCTTTCAGGGAGATTAAGGTAACAAAGATGCTAAATGAAATCAAATCCAACAATCTGGATTTAAAAAAGTAAAAGACTGTTTTAAGCGCTGATTTTATGCACTGATTTAGGGAAAGACGTTTTCTAAACTCCAACTATAATAGAAAAATATAACCTCCTGCTGTTTATTATTAAATCAAAGACTCATTGCCCAGTGGCACACCAAATTCAGATGGTTCTATCTTTTCTTTAAGGAATCAGACATTTGAAAACATAAACTTTGTTTATACTCAGGGAATCTCAGATTTGAATATTTGTTAAATTAAATGAACAAGATGGCGGGAGACAAAACACGTTTTCATCGCACCTTAAAGAGCAAATATATCCCCGATGGTTCTGGATGGATTTTAACTGAACGTTTGACATGAAGCTCCACCATCAATCCTCCTGTGGTTCCAACCTTTCAGTCTAGCTGACCTAAAGCGGGACGTTTCTGACCTCCACTCAGATGGATGTTAACTGATCTCATCAGAACGGTGCTCTCGTATCCTCTAGGTTTAAAAACACACCACCCCTGATTTTTATCATTGTTCTTTAGGACGTAGGTCCAGCAATCCCTCCAGGAGCCTTCTGGCTTCCCTAAAACGACAGACAGCATTTGGTTTTTGTATTTGGCAATAAATCAGAAATAGATTTTTACTCAGGTGTTCCTCAAATCTAACAACCGACATGTTTCATCAGTACAGTGAATTTTCCCCCTTCAGCCTCTGAAACCTCCGAGATAAAAATAAGGTATTAGAGTGGAGGTTTGACTGCTGTCTGTTTATGTGAATTACAAAAAAAAATAGTGGAGAAGTCCTAAATAGGAAAATAGAAAGGCACAATTGTTATTCAACAAAAGCTTCCGATTGAAATGAGGAGCTTAAAGCTTTCTTTAAAGGAACTAAAATATTTTTATAAATGTGTGAGCTTTACCTGCTGCTTAATGCAGAGATTTTGTTTAGCAAACTAGGAGTGGTATGATTTTAAAACTGATTGAGAACATTTTACCAGATCGTTCTGACAAGGCACTAAAAAAATAAACAACCCCAAACTGTTTTTTTTTTCTTTCTTAAAACATTAAAATAAAGGAAAAAAATTTACTTTGAACATGTTTTTTTTCACCTTGGAAAGGCAGGGTCACAGACAGACGTGGTGTCGAGGCTCTAGGATGTTCGGCAGTATAAAAGACCATGAGAGGGAGACGCAGCTTCACCACAAAACCACCCTGATTCCAAGTTTCCACAAAATAATTAAGAAGGTTTTGTTTTTTTATCAGGAGACTATAAATCCTCAGGATCTCCTCCAGCTTCCCACTCCTGCTGGGGAGCTCCTCGCTCATCGAGGGCGGGAAACAGGAGGACGGTGAGGTCACTGAGTGAAGCTTTTCTTGATGGCCACATTGGGGAAAAGGTTGGAGAGTTCTTGGACGACCCGCGTCTCTATCTGCGAGCAGAAGGAGACATCCAGGAGGACGAGTCCAGGACACGACTGGAGGAGCTTCTTGAGTGAAGCAGCGCTCACCAAACGGGTCCCTTTTATTATTAAATGGAAATGAAAACAACATTAAATACATCCAAAATATATATCCAAAAAAAAGGTTAAATATAACAACACATTCAATTTAAACCAAAGTTGCTGGATTTATCATTATCCAGGAACAACATTTACGTTAAAGGCACAAAGAAGTCTAAGACTAAAAAAAAGTTGTCCTTAGTGATGTCATTCAGGGATTTCTTAAAATCTAAGATTAATTTACAAGGTGGAAAAAATGTTAGAAGAGGGGAGGATTTTAGTCCGCATGAGTGTTTCTGAAGGAGAGAAGACAGCCGACTCGACGTGTGCAAGAAATGAGAACAAAATTGAAAAAACTGACCAACAAGAGCGGAGAGTAAACATAACGATAAGAAAATGAAGCTGTGGGACAATTTAATTTAGCTACATGGCATCATCTGGATACACATTTTCCTAATCCAGCCTCATTTTTCTACCCTGTTCATTTCTTTCCATTAATTACTAGAGCAAGGGTTCCCAACATTTTAACCTTTTACCTAAAAATTAAAAATGAAATGCAGTATCCATCACTGAAAATATTAATACTAAAAGTGAAGTAAACATATTTATTTCAAAAATACGCCTTTTAAATGACAATGAATTTTTGAAATAATCATTTTAAATGTATTTTAATTACTTAGCAGAACATTTACTTATTTAATGGTATATTTATTAATATTCGCATCATAGATAAGATAATCTAATACAAAAATAAACTAGAAACGACCTCTGGTAAAAATGGCTGTGTCAGAATGTCGCCCCTAACCATTATATTGTGCGCTATATAGTGGTAATGCTATTTTAAATAAGCGTCAGAATGACTAGCGGAAAAAGCAGTGGATTCGAAGTTTCCCACAATGCCCCTTGAAAGGTAGAGATCATCCATGGCCACTAGACAAGCAGATATATCCAAGAATGCTTTGCGAGGAGAGTTTTCCTCGCAAAGCATCATGGGATTTGTTGTCAAAGCAGCCTGCTGTCACCTACAGCTGTCACTACCTGACAGCAGTGACAAATAAAGATGCCGCACACAGAGTCACATGACCAACGGGGAGAGGAAAGTAGTTATCATCTGTCCGAACCGTCAGTTAACTGACGATCTATATCGTGATTGAGGGGTTAGAGGTTCCGGAAAATGTTCTGACAAAGCCAATGGCTGTTTCTCAATTTACAAGAACACAAGTACGGTTTCATGTCCTCGCCAAGTATGTTCCTGAGAAGAACACAGGAAAGTATGGACTCTGGCAGAACGGGAGCAAGCAGCATAAATAAGGGTTAATTGGAACAGAAGAGTTCTTGTGATGTCATCACACGCTCGGCTCGTCTGGAGCTGCATTTCACCTCCTGTTATTAATAGTCTCTAGATAATAATAAATCCTTACTTTACTCATTTAGTTGGGGAATAATAATAAACACAAATCAAATGAACATTTTTCCAATTAAAAAAAAAAAATCGCGATAAGAACCAGCGGCCCTTCACACACGACTACGCAGAGAGAGGGCCGCTGCAGACGGGCTGTGGATACCCTCGGAGCTACGCTGGTTGCCGGGGTGCAACTTTGGAAATATTTTTTTTAATTCTGCATTAAATCCATAAATGCTGAATATAGTAACGCTTAAAGGTATCATTTTCTCGCCTCAAATGATCTTAAAACATACTTTTATTGAACAACAGCAACAGAAAAGAGAACTTTTAACTTAATACTCTGAGCTCTTTGAGCGCTAACCTGTAAGCTGCTGCTGCCGCAGTCAAGCTTTCAATCTCAAGAACGGACAAGTCTGCTCTGATGCATGCTGGGTAAATAGGGAAGGGCAAGAACAACATCCGGACTCTTTGTCTGTCTCGGTCTGCTGGTCTAGTGAATTGGAACAGTACTAGGGCTGAGGCTGATGACGTTTAACCAGCACATGAAAACGCACAAGTAGACATATTGAGAAGTGGACAATTTTAAAAAAAATTGTTGGTAACTTTTCAAGAAATCGAGCTAACGAACCAACGATGCTCCCTTTTCCTGGGTTTTTGGCTGTATCCCAAACCAGCCCCTAAATACTAACCATCCGTTTGCGTGTTCCCACGGTTTTCCGCCACATTAAGGGCCGTCCCAAACCCCGCAGTGGGTAGGGCCAGTTGAACATTCAGCCCTTAAATAGCGAGCCTGTACCAGGGGCAAGACGGCTGGAAGCGGGTGTAATGGCGAGCTAGTGGAAGAGGAAACACATGCAAATGTAATTTTTGATATTCTGTGAACCTGCGCCACAGACCTTCAGCCGCGCACACACAACGTCACTGTGTTGCCATAGGAACAACGGCTTTCCCTTTCCATTGGAAGGAAGAGGCCGTCCCATCCTCGTTTTAACCGCAGCGTATAGTTCAGGCACCTTCCACAGCTGGGAGTGGGACTTTATTGCAAGCAACACTTTATGGTTAAGGGTTAGTGGTAAGGTGGTCGTTTGGGATTCAGTTTTTGTCTTCAGTTTAGTACTTCCTGACTTTTTGAGTCTGATCCTGAAGAAATAGTCACAGCTGCCACCCTCTGATTTAGGGAGGAACTGCTTGTTCCGCAAAATATCCCATCTGCATGATTGCGGCTACCTGCATCTGGATTATAATCTGGATCATCACATCAAGTGAAATGGATTGCACCTTAGAACGAGGCACACCTCTGGAAAAAAAAACTCGATTAAAATCTGTTTAGAACCTTTCCAGTAATCCCGCTAACAATCAAACAAACATGACGGAAAACATAACGTTCTTGGTCGACTTCATAAATGTTACATCTACTTTTTCATTGCATATTTATTTGTTTCATTCATATTAATGCATTCCATTTAATATTTTGGCCCTAAACGTACCTTAGGGATCACATCATAACGATTGTGAAAACTGTTCCATCCACCCAGGGGTCCTGACCCCTACTTTGTAAACTCATGTAGACAACTAAAATTTGTAGGCGGATTTTCTCTGAGAATCTTTGTGGATTTGAGGCCTGGTCCTTGATCCACCAGGGAAATGCTGTGTTAGCTTCTATCTAAAAAGAGTGAGATAAAAAGGTTTAAGGTGTGAGCATACCAAGAATGTCAAGGTGCTGCAGCGAGGGGCAGCAGTTAGCCAGCTCCTCTATGTCCGAGTCGCAGACGGTGCGGTTGGCAGTGAGGAAGAGCTTCCTGAGTCGCGGCAGACTGCGGGCGAGTTGCTGGAAGCAGCCGCTGCTGCTCTGCAGGGTGGGACACCAACCCAGGTCCAACTCCTCCAGCATCCTGAGCAACCAAATAGCATCGTTGATCTTGTTTAGTGCATGGGTCAGATTTTACAGTAAACATATTTAACATTTTATTCGTAGAGGTATGGAGCACCTGCAGCCTGTAACGAGCTCAGCCAGGCCTCGGTCTGTCAGGTTCCTGCAGCGCCATAGGTCCAGAGAGAGCAGGGAGCGACTGCGAGACGCCAGCATGCTGGCGACAACATCGTAGTCTTCGATCTGCAGACATGATGGGATTAGTGTGAGAACTCCTTCAGGCGTTTGCTGCGTAGCTTCTCTACCTTCATCCCTGCCTGGAACCCTGATCTCAATTGTGCATCATCTGAAAAGGGTCCTCTTTAGTGGGGCTGAGATGTATCATTAATTGAATTGATTACTAAATATTAATTTAGAAATCAAATTATTACTTAGACTAATTATGCTCATACTCTAAAAAATAGTTAAAGGAATGAAAAATATTAAAATTTTCCATTTAGGAAGAAAAATCTTCCTAATAGGTATAATATATAGAAATATACTGTACTTATTTATTTATTTTTTTTTACAAGTTTTTCCATTTAAAGTTTATTTAAAGGCACAACAAGCTTTTTCAATGATCAATTTACTGATTACTAATTTATATTAATTTACTGCAAGTACCTCTTTTTAGGTGAATCAGAAAATAATAATTGGTAGATTTATAGATAACGATATAATTGGTGCAGCCCTTCATTATCAGTAACTAAATGTCGATTCATTAATATTTGCTTCAAACTGCCTGGTAGCTGCTGCTGCTGCTCCATCTGATTTCCTGTCCGTTTTTTTCCTGTCCATTTATCTTAGCAGCGCATGTAACTGTACTGTGCTGTCTAACTCAACTCTCATTGGTTGTTCTGCCTTAAGTTCTGCCTTCTCTCTTCCTGATTGGCTGTTGTCTAGTGATTATGTGTGCGTGCTTAGAGCACGAAATTAGATTTCCCGGTTACTACAATTAATATTAGGCTATGAAACTAGTCCCAATTAAAAAAACTAAATATTATCTAAGCTAAAACATGTGAAAGGTTGCAGTTCTGTAAAGAGGCAGGAGAGCGTGTTTTGATTTGTGGAACCAATGTTAGCGTCTCAAAATAATATTTAATTCTGAAGTATGAGACATTTTATCAACAAAAACCTTTTTTTTTTCTTTTCTAAAACTAAGTATTCTGAGTTAGCAGTTTTGAAGACTGCTTGCAGAAAAGCAGCAAGCAAAGACTGTAAGCTATAAAAACTCAGATTCTTAGCCACAGCCTAAGGAAAAAGAAAATGTGAGGGTTTCCCTTTTATCAATACTTTGTTGTCATTTACTGTTTTCATTTTTTGACAACACTTTTAGGCACTACAGGTATAAATAACAGGTGTTATTTCCTTTTATAGAGTATAACAACATGTAATGTTTAGATGAAATAGAATACATTGAATACAGTATTTAAAATCCAGCTTCTATGTGTGGAAATCAAGTTAATGCAGTTCTTTTGTTTCCTGTCTTTCATAACTGGATGAACTGATTAATCCAGGTGTGTCTGGCCATGGTTACTGATGTCAGGCACACCTGGATTAACTAATTTATCCAGTAGAAAATTACAGGAAACCAAAGAGCTACCATCAGTTCAGGAAGTAGTGGAGTTGTGCAGAGAGCCCATTCCCACAGAATGCTGCAACCATGTTTCACTGTCCGGATGTTGTCTGCTGAGGAGCTTTTCTCTTTTTCACTTTAGTTCAATATATTCTGTAGCTTCAAAAGTGACTGAATTTACAAATTGTTTTTTTATATGCTGTTTTTTCATTTTTCTTACCCTCACACAGCTCCCCAGGTTGAGATGTCTGATCTCAGGGCAGAAGGTCAGAATGCTGAGGATGGCTGTTTGCTGCAGGGAAAACACAAGGAAATAAGCAGAAATGTAATTATTTAGCTTTTTTTGAGGAAAAAAAACAAAAAAACAAAGTGTATTTTCAACCAGATGGGAGTAAATAAGTAAGAAAATAGTTACATTTAAGGTAATAAAAGAAGACTCCACTATCTTATTTCAAGGGCAAAATATTTAATCATTGTATCTTAAGTGAAAAACTACTAATTCCACTGAAAATTGGCCTCTTTGCCTGCTCAAATTAAGAGCAATTATAACAATTTCAAGGAATTTATAATGATTTTAAAACAGTTTTTTGCAGAGCACACAGCAAAAATTAAAAATCTAAAGGATTTTTTCTTGAAATAAGTTTTTCCCCCTGATTTGAGCAGATAAATAAGATAATCTGCCAACAGATTAAGATGTTTTACCTTTTAAATAAAAAAAGTTGACTCCAATCTTTTATTTAGAGTACTTAATATTAAATCATTGTATCTTAGGGTCAAAAACACTTGCTTCAGTGAAAGATCACCCTCTTTACACTGATCTAGAAATGAGTAAAAACGTCTTAAATCAAGTGTATTTACCCTTAATTTGAGCAGGTAAATAAGATGATTTTGCAATGGAATTAGTATTTTTACTCTTAAAATAAAATAATTAGATAATATGCATTTGAAATGAGATAAAGCAATGGCCTTTTCTTATTTTAAATGTAAATTTTCTTGTTTGATTGGCAAAGTATCTCCCTTTCCCCCTCAATTCAAGAACAAAAGTACTTATTTTAAGAAACAAAATGACTTAGATTTATATTTTTTGCAGTGTACCTGCTCAAATTAAGGGCAGACGCAGTTATTTTAACACGTTTGCACATATTTTTAGCTCAGTTTTCGCAGGGATGAAAAATAAATACAGGTGATTTAAGAATCATGTTAAAACATGTAAGACTGTAATATCTAAATAACAGAGAAAGATTCTGATGACTCCGTCCTGTCATCTGACCTTTCTTCAAACAGATTGTCTGTCGACCCAATCAGCATTTAACGTAATTTAATAAAACCCAGGAGATCCTTTTTCCACACTGCAAAGCAAAGCGAGGACAGCGGTTTCTCCTGTGGCTCCGCAGCTCCGATGCAGATATGGAAATTCAACGCAGAAATTGCCAACACGTGTACATCTGTGGCAGGAGAAAAGTGTCAGGAGATGAAAGTGAAAGCCTCTTGTGAGTGTGTGTGTGTGTGTGCTCTGAACTCAGTCTGGCATCTTTATAAACGCCTCTCTCTCTCCGGTGAGCTACTCATTTAATTAGAGCACTGACAGGGTAATGACAGCCGAGATGTCAGGAGCCCTGGCAGACAAACAGCTCTCACTGTCTGTCCGGGGTGTAAACAACCCATAGAGTGCTGCCTGGCTCCACCGCAGAAACCCGACGCCGCCTGTCGTCCAGAACACGACGAGAGCCGCAGAAATGCTGCGCTGGAACACCAAACCAAACCTGAGGACAGGTTTTACACGGCAGACGTGATCGTACCTGAACACACCACATTATGTGTCTTTAAAGCATCGACTAGCTGCCTCATTTTACACCCCTTGCAACGTTTTATATATACGCCGTATAACGCTGTAAGTGTAGGAAGCCAGTGGTTCCAGCTGCTGTAGACATAAATCAGAGGTGTGGAGAAACACTTAAAGAAAGCTGCTAACCTGCAAAGATGAGCAACTTGGATGAAACTAACAATCTAAGATTTAAGAGCGTTCGCAGATTTGAATCGATCCAAAACATTTCAGCCTGAGATCTCAAAAATAACAATGCAACACACTGACAACCCCCTAAAAACACATAATTACTTCACTCTTTTTATTAATTATTTTAACTAATTTTAATAATTCAATTTAATTTAATTTAAATGTATTTTTCATTATTTAATGAGACATTAAGCCCATTTTACAATTTAAGTGAATATTTTATAATAAACTTCAGATCAATAAATTAATCTTAGATGCATTTATTTCAGATTTTACATTTATGTATTTAATGATATATTTTGCCGTTCCACATGCTTGACGGATCACATCACAATCATTTTCTGACCCTCATTTTGTGTCTCATGATCCCTGGAGGGTTCCGACCCCTATTTTGGGAACCCTATATCTTAACGATGCATTTAAAGCCTTAAAATGAACCATAGATTTACAGCGGTGGCTTCATCACATCCTGAACTATAGGAACCACAGTGCTTTCACAGTGATGAGAAAAATAATCGCCACATTTACTGGAACCCAAAGCTTGTTCCTAGGATAAAATGAAAATGTATTTTCTTCACACATGAGGGCTTCAAGGAACTTATGATTAGTGCTTCACAACTTCCTGTTTCTCTGGGGCTTAAATATAACAAGTCAAGGAGTGACGTTTCTCTTAGCGCCTCTAATGAAACTATAGGAAAAACAGGAGAAAATCAGTTAGAACCAGTTACTTTATATTAGTCTGAAATATAAAGTTCACACAAAAGAAAGCGAAAAAGAAACAAATCTCACTTTTGTTCTTAAAAAGTTGTGTTGCACCGATACAAATACCAGTATCAGGCAGGGCCCCGATCCATCAATAAAATAGTGGTATTGGTATCAGCAGATACTGCACAGCCAGGTATTGGGTATCGGGGCCAGAAAATGGCATCAGCGCAACAAAACTTAAAACTAAACCTTTTTTTTTTAAAGAAATTAAGCTTTTCAGCAGCTGGACGGCTTTTTAAAGGCTCCTTTAAGTTAGAATCTAATACCCCATTTACACTACCCTTGAAAAACCGTGCCGAGCCCGGTCCGAGCTCAGTAACTGAGATAACTTATCGTGTGTAAATGGAAAGCAAACTGAACTGAACCGAGCTAGACACAACCGGACCGCCCTAACTGCAGACCAGTTCCAGAGGTGGGCTCGGCTCAGTTTTTCCCTGGCTTGGTTCTCTGATAACAAGAGCGCATGAGCAGAACGCATCATCTCCGTCTTGCTGCACCTCGCGATTCACACTCCATTCCAGTAGATGGCGGTAATGCCAGAAACAGAAGAAGAACAACAACTTCTTCAACTATAAACAACAATCGAAATCTTCTCCACACAACATTTTAAATAATAACACCGAAGTACAGCAATAATAATCAAGCATAACTTTCTGAATGTGACGGGCGCCGCCATTTTGATTTGCTTGATTCCCTCCTTCTTTGTCTTCTTCTTCTTGTGTTTTCTATGGCGGTTGGCAAACAACTTTTGGTGCATTACCGCCACCAACTGCTTGATTTCCTCTTTCAATACTGGCAGTAATACCGCAGATCGTCACTATGAGGCGAGGAGTCGAGGAACCGAGATAGCGTGATGTGTAAACGGTCGTCAGAACCGAGCTTGGCCTGGTTAACTGATCCGAGCTCGGACCGGTCTCGGCATGGATCAGTTTTTCAAGGGTAGCGTAAATGGGGTAATAGTGGAGAACATGTGGTGCTGCAGGTCTTTCTCTCATCCTGGAAGCCAAGTAAAAACAGTCTGGAATATAAAAGTCGAGAGGTTTTTGCTACCTAATTCAAAACATGAAACAACGGGACCTCTTAGCGGGGTAATGATGGAGAGATTCTGCAAAGATTCCTCCATCTGTGCCTCCAGCCTGGATAAACGTTACAGGAGAGGATTAAGGGATGCCAGGGCATACTTGATTCCTCAGATGTCTTAGGGGGAAAAAAGTCTTGGTGGAACAAGCCTTCATGTCAGACATCTTTGTGCGTAAGTAGGAACTCTGAGGACAGTGCGCGTGGCACGGTACATGCTCGACTCTCTGGGAGAGTTTCACGTCTACCAACAGGCAAGACATGAAAGTGAAAGCCTGAACGTGCAACCTATTAAGAAAAGGATGGCCAAAACAAAAAATATATAAAAGGTGGTCATTTGTTTTCCCCACCAAATACAGTGGGTACGGAAAGTATTCTGACCCCTTAATATTTGCTAACAACAAAAAAGTTCAGTTTATTTGTCATTAATGTACACTTAGCAGCCCATCTTGACAGAAAAAAAGCAGAAATTTAGAAATTTTTTACATTTATTAAAAAGAAAAACTATCAAATGATTTTAGCAAATGGTTGCAATGAAACAAAAAGTGAAACATTTAAAGGGGTCTGAATACTTTCTGTACCCACTGTAAATGTGCAACATTGGCTGATGATTACAGCTTGTGTGTAAGAATCTACCAAGAGCCTCAACAGACCTCAAGATGAGAGCAAAACCTGAAATGTTTGTTAAATGAAGGCCTGCTGAGTCCGCTGAGCGACCTTACCTCTATCTTGGTGCGGTACAGCACCAGTCTGCGAAGGTGGACAAGTTTGGAGATGTGTGTGAAGGCCTGTGGATGGAGGCGGTCGCATGAGGACAGGTTAAGCTCCTGCAGTCTGGGACAGGACTGGGCGATGACCTCCAAACAGGGCTCATTCAGGAAGTGACAGCACGACAACTCCAGGCAGACCAGGCTCAGACCGCGGGCCTTCATGAAACTGAGGGAATGGAAGAGAAGACAGGAAGAGGCAGAGTCATGATTTGTTTGTTGTTCTTCCTTCTTAAACTCAGAAGAACCTGACTTTAAAAGTGTTCGTCCTTCCGAGCGTCTGCTAGTTCTTCTGAGGTCATTCCACTGTGGCCTGCTGTTAGTCTGACCTGCTGAAGCCTGTCAGGGTGAGGGCTCCACGGTTTCCAGTCCAGGACAGGTTGAGCCTCTGGAGGAGGGTGCATCTGCTCTGCAGGTGTCCCAGGGAGGCGTCACTCAGCCGGGCCCAGTATGGCTGCAGGCTCAGCTGGGTGTACTGCAGCGGGTCGCAGCAGTGCTGGTGCAGCAGCTTGCAGCTCTGGGCCAGACGGCAGAGGTCTGGCAGGGTCAGGTGGCTCAGAATCAGCTGGATGAGCTGAGGACAGAAGACGGGGAGACGGGTCAGGAGAGGACTTTAGTTGGGATGAAAAGAAGCAAAGCGTAACGTAAAGAAATACAGAAAATCTGAACAGCTCTCATCTTAGACCCAAAGCACAGAGAACAGGATGAGCGGTGAGGTGAGGCAGCTTGTTCTGCTTCGTGTTTGTGCGCCCGAGTGTGTCGCCGTGCATCAACAACAAGCCACGTTCGAGCCGGCATCGTCTGACAGATAATAGCTATATTGTGTTTCAGAGACGAGGACGTGGCGGTTGTGTGGACGGCTGTTAATGGCAGCGGCTTGGAGCGGGGAAAAGAGAACAAGCTGCAGGAGCGCCGCCAGCACTTTGAAGCGCACCGCAGACAATGTGATAGGAACGGCATGAAATTGGCTCGGTGTCCGAGAATGTGCTCAAGACGACGAGGAAAGAGCGCCAGAACATGTCCAAGCAGAGCCTTCATGTGTTTGTGAGCAAGGATACAAAGAGCCCCTTGGAAAAGTGTTCAGACCTGATGAACTTTTCACACCATTGTCACATTAATTTAAGTATTTCAGCATATTCAACTGGTCTCTTATGTGACCAAAAAACTCAGAAGGGAGTAGAATAGAATAGAAACAACCTTCATTGTTCTGAAGAGGGGATATTCACTGTTTCCTGTAGCAAAATTGACAAAATGAGACTGCATTATTCATAAATCATATGAAAAAACGAAAATGTTGGTAAATGTTTTGCAATGAATAAAAATAAAAAACCTAACTAAACACTTTCCGCATCTTTCTGCAATGAGGCTGCTGCAAATGAAGACCCCAAATAACGAACCCAGCACCTTTATCTGGTTTTACAAGACTTGAGAGTTCATCTGCTTAACTGTTTCTTTCCAAAACAAAGCCAGTTCACCGGTACCCTCTCTAACATAGAAAGTATTTATGGAGCTCATGTTCTGCTTCTATCATACTAAACTCCCAGTCGCCCTCAGCAGAAGGCCGCTCTCATTGTTCCTGGAGGTTTCTTCCTGTTAAAGGGAGTTTTTCATCTCCACTGTCGCTGCATGCATGCTGTGAGGGATTGCTGAATATCTACTGTCACTACATGCTGATCCAGGAGGAGCAAATCCTGCAGAGTCAATGACTGGATGCAATCATCTGGGTTTTCCTCAGACAGAATCTTTGAACCAATCAGTTTCTATTATCTGGTGGAATTGTCTTTGTAAAGAGCATAAAGATGACATGTGTTGTAAATTGGTGCTAAATAAATAAACTGAATTGAATAAAATGTAAATGTTGATATTGATGTGACCTACAAACATAATCTCTACTTTCACAGGGACTACTAGCATGGCAGTGGCCGCCCAGCCAGACTTATGCCTTTTACACAGTATATCAGCCTGGAAAGCAGCTGGTAGAGCCTGGTTTTAAAGGTGGGACCAGAAACAGTTTAGAACCAATCAGATAACTCTGGATGTCAGGATAAATGTGTTTTTTATTTAGGAAAAGCAGCCAGTTGTTGAAATTTTAGCGTCATAAACAGCTCTATCTGAGCATAATAAAACTGCGCTCTGTTACAGTGGCAATCTTTGAGCATTAAGCCTTACCAAGCTGACTAAAGGGCAAATTATACTTCTGCAACCGCACACATCAAATGTCGCTTGGGTCTGGTCGCGAACCACTTTTGCTGGTATGCTTCTGCACAGTTGGTCTGGAATTTCTAGGGACGCACAGCAGTTTCCCGCCAAGGCTTAAGGGGGATGCTATTCGAGGTCTCGCGAGAACTTCAGCGGCGCCAGAAGAAGTGTTGATCTGCCAAAACAACAATGGAATCTGTGCAACCGCACACAAAGTATAATCTGCCCTTTACACTCCATTTAAGTCCGCTTGGCTGGCCAGTCTAATGGACGACAGACGTGAAGTAGCACTAGCTACAATCAGCAGGTTACCATGAATGGATATGCATTAATATGCAGGGTTGCAATAAATTAACATATATCCTCCACATTACTTCAAGGTGAACTACTACTGGCATTTCTTATAGGTTTCTCTCACTGACGGCCTTCTTTTTTGTTTGTTTAGAGCGGGGCAGACGACCAGTTTATTCTGGTTATTACTGGTTTATCCTGTCGAAAGATCTTCTCCTACCTGAACTGTGGATTCTTAGTTTCTCCAGAGTCACTACAGGACAAGTGAACAAGCTGTTCTTTCCTAAACGGCTTGTTTGTTTTGAGTATGTTTTATTTATTTATTTTTATTTTTTTATTGTGTCATTCCTTGTCTACAATTGAATGGCTTTTCTTAGGATGTTGATGAATAATCACAATATATATAACTTTGTATTTTTCCTGATATCACGTTATACATTGATGGACTCATTTAAAGGTGTAGGGGTGCTTTTTTTCCCCAATTATCAGCATTAAAAGAAAATGGTGTAAAACAAATCCATGCCACACTTTTCAGTTTCGGAGAGGTTGATTGTTTTTCTTCCACTTCCAAATTAGGTGGCATTTGATTCCTTTAAACCTATGGATATAGACAAAAGAATAATTTTAGGAGTAACTGTAAATAAATTATTTATCAGATTAAATCAGTTCCATCAGATTAAACTGGTTGCCCCTGTTGCCCCGATCAAATAGAGGGCACTGATCGTTTTGCATCTCTGTTCATTGGAAATGGTTCATTGTTCATATATCTGATTCATCTTTTTTAATTAAGTAATGTTTAAGTAATGCAATAGGTTCGTTTTTGTTTCTCCATTTTTTTTTTCTGTTACTCTTTGTCCCTGCTGGGGTCACGAGGGGTGCTGGTGCCTATCTCCAGCTGTCTACAGGCGAGAGGCAGGGTCCGCCCTGGACGGGTTGCCAGTCTATTGCAGGGCAACACAGAGACAAACAGGACAAACAACTATTCACACCTAGGAAGAATTTAGAGAAGCCAATTAACCTAACAGTCGTGTTTTTGGACTGTTTTTGGGAGGAAGCCGGAGTACCCAGAGAGAACCCACCCATGCACAGGGACACCATGCAAATTCCATGCAGAAAGAAAATTCAACCCAGAACCTTCTTGCTGCCGGACTGAGCAGTCCGGTTTTGTTTTGTTTCCTCTCATTAATAAATGTAATAATGTGTAAGAAAGCATGTTTTTGTTTATTCTGTCGGTATTTAATACAGATGTTACCACGCATTGTCAAAATATAATAACGTGCGATTGATTTTAATTCAGCGTGCTGTAAAAAATATATTTAGTTATGGAAAGATCTTTTTGATACAAGGGAAAACTTTTCAGGAAAATGGCCACTTAGCAATTAATCTAAGTCGAGTGTAAAGAAGTTTAAGAGGTTTTGGTACTTTTTTCAGGGCAATGTATGCTATTCCGGTAGATAACTGTATTCACTGTGTTCCTATAGTGTTTACGTTCATCAGTCACCTCATACGGCAGCCTGTCAAAGTAGCCGTTGGCTGTCCTGTGTTGCTTTCCATCTCCCCCGTGTTTGAAAGCACCTCCAATGTCACACAGCTCGTCCTCGCTGTCGCTCAAGTCACTGATGTCGATGAGAGGCATCTTATAAAGCGCCAGCATGGGTCTCTCCTTCACCCCGCGGAGGATGACGGCGTCCAGCTCGGTGTAGTAGTCCAGCAGGGAGCTGTTGACCTCCAGGCGCAGCAGGTTGGTGGGAAAGTTGATGTGCTTGATTTTTGGAGAGAACTGTCGAGCTTGGGGAGTCAGGGCCTTGGTGGGCTCCCCCGACCACAACACTTCCCACCTGGACAACAGAGAGCCAATTATAGTTTGGTAACTGATTTACAGATTAAGTTAATGATCCTTTGCTAAAGGAGCATGACATTTTGGATAAGCATGATCTATCATCCTTTGCTGCTTCTTTTATTTAACACTAAGAACTGATATATTCCAGTAGAGAGATCATTCTACAATCTCTGGACTTCTTCAGACTCAAATTAATCAAAAATGTAAATTTTATTCCATATTAAGATGCAATTCAATTCATTTTGGCTTCTTGGATGGAGACAAACTCTGATTAGTTATTAATCTAAAACCCTTCGTTTTTGGGTTTCATTTCCCAAAACATCTCCCCTTGCTTGTAACAATAATTGAACGTTAAAGAAACACTTTTTATTATATTGACTGAGATGATCCTTAATTATCAATACCTTATGTTTTCCGAAAAAGGAACAAAAATCAGGAGTCTCTGAGAGCTAGAAGCCCCTAAAAAATCCCTGCCTTTCGGTCCAAATGTAAAAACCAATCGGAAGCCTTCATCTCTGCCCCCCGACCGCTCATCAGGTTTGGAGATTGACGGAAATATTCACAACACCCCTTTGCAAAACTCTTGAGGTAAATATTACTAAAAATGACATGCTAAAACGTGTATGGTTAGTATTGCTAAACCTAGCATCCTACCTTGAAAGCCACTGCAATAATATATTTTATTTACAGGTGAATGAGACATGAGGTAGTTAGGTTTAAGTCTATATTTTATCTGTATTTAAAGAAATGCCTGAGTCGGCCCCCCCTCTGCTCCCCTTGCGGGGGAGAATGTAACTTTGAACGGAGGGAGAGAGCTGCTTTCAAATCTTGCTAGCTCTCCAACATTACCAACCATAGCTTTAATGTTGTACTGATGAAATGGGTGGGTGGAGCGTTACCTGACATCAGTCGGAGGGTTCTGAGAGAACGGGTTGTGAGAGCAAGCCAGGATTTGGACGATGGCTCCAGGATAATAGGTCTCAAACACTTCCACCGCCGTTGGGTAGACCGGCTCCTCAAAGCCCAGCTCGATGTAATCCTGGCTGTGGAAGCTGTCGGGAGTCCGGCGAAACGGTAAAGGAGCACTGGAACACTGTTCCCACCACTTCCCATAAGCTCTGAAGACGGCGGTCTGGGTGAAGTCCCCGGAACTGGGGTACACGTTAGGGACCCCAGCCAGGTTCCACATGGTATAGGACATGCTGTTCTCACTGCCATAGTGGGAGCTGAAGTCCAGAACCTCCTTGGCGTACTGCTCCACTTCCACACTGACCGGCAGCACCGCCCGCTGGCCCGATTCCACGGCACGCCGGCTGGTCAGTGCCTCGCCTCGAGTCCCGCTCCTGGAGCGCCGCCGCAGACATATATAGTAAAACATGCTCAAGAGGGTTAACATAGGGAAGTCTGGGAATGATGGGGGCAGAGGGGTGAAACGGAGGCTAGACAGAGGAAGAGCCTCCACCTACTGGTAGCATATTGTCTCAAGAGGTGGGGACGAACAAAACGCAAGCTAGAGGCGCGGCTGCATGCATGACCTGTGGGTTAGGCAGAGACAAACACAGACATGAGTGGGAAGAGCAAAATATTAAGTCTGACAGTACAGAGCACAACCATCAGTCACATTCAGTAAATGGAGGGCCTTATAAAAGCATCAACCCTCGCTTTGTCAGATTAGAAGTAAAAACTCTACTGTATTTAACTGGGAAAGTGGCAAAAACCTAAAAGAAAAAAAGAAAAACAATCACACATTTTCTGCAAACCTTAAACACACAAGTTCAAATGTTTTCAACCCATCTGGTTTGATCCATGTGAATAATATCACAAAAACAATTGTGTTGTTTATCAAGCTCTACTGCAAAGGCCTGACATGAACGTCCCTCAGAGCATGGCTACAAGCTAGAATACAAGGTTTAATTCTTAGTAGGTCCCATGACACAGCAGACCAACACCAAATACCACATCCCCATTTTAAAACATGGTCTTGGAGGTATCATGCTGTGGGGAGGCTAAATATCAAACAGTCCTGAAAGTAAACCTGTTAAACGATACAAAAGACTGGATAGGGCTGAGGTTTACCTTCTAGCAGATCTATAACGGCCAAAGCTAAAATTATAAATGGCTTAGATTGAATAATGTGTATATGTTAGAAGGGTGCAATCTAAGGACCGCCCTCAAATTGATTAAGAATCAGTGGACAAAAACTTTGATATAAACGTTCCTTATATAAACTTCAGGCTTTAGATGGCCTAACGTAAAAAAGAAAAAAAGATTTGCTGCTATATTGGCAGAAATAGGAGGTTCTACACCTTAATACTCAGATGGGGGGAAATGTGTGAAAAACACCTCTGAGGTATAATTATTAGTTGTTAGGATTCATTTTCATTTAATTTAGGATTCCTGCACCACTTTGTGTTCTGTTAATGCTGATGATGGTGGCTGTAATATGATGAAATGAGGAAAACTTAATAAAAACTCCTCGTTTCCCTGGCGATGAGACACTTTTTAGGGGAAAGGATGAATAACAATAAACATCTGTATCAAAATAAAGCTAAAGCTCTGAAAAAACTACTCTAGTGCGATGAATGAGGCTGACAGTCAAGAGGTTTACCGTTGCAAAGGTGGATCTCCTTGAGTCTGGGTTTCATCACCATGGTAACAAAAACCGACACAGGTTTGAAGCAAAGATCAGTCTATTTAAACATATTTTGCAAGTCATCCCTTTGGTTAACAAATTAGGAAAGCATCAAAGGAATATCAGAGAACGCTAAAGTTAAAGCACCCTAAGATATTAGTAGTAGAGCTGAAATGATTAATTGATTATAGAAATCATCGTCAACTAATTAAGTTGAGTCGTTAATTGGAATAATGGTACTCAGACTAAAAAAGATGCCGTTTGCAGAAAGAATAACCTACATAAGGCCATAAATAAGACAAAACTACAGATAAAACTAAAATATTTATACACATGGAGTATATATTTCCATTAAAGATTAAATTGCTTCTAAATTGATATATCTATAAAAATCAAATGTGAATTAATGTATATTTTGTACATGTTTTGACATTTGCAATTTTTTTAAAATGTGCAATGAAGGCTTTTTATCTTATTTAAAATCTCGGTTTTTAATAAAAGTAAATTTTCAATTAATTAATCAATCTGAAGAAAAAATTATTACAAAAATTCACAAGTGCAGCGCTAAGATGCTCTATGCACAACTCCACTACTTCCTGAACTTAAAGGAGCTCTTTTGTTCCTTGGCTTTCATTATTGGATGAACTGATGAATCCAGGTGTGTGTGGCCATGGTTACTGAGATCAGACACACCTGGATTAATCAATTCATCCAGTAGAAAAAGACATGAAACAGCTGCCTTAAATTCAGAAAGTACTGGCCTGGTGCGCAGAGCACACAGAGCTTTTGGGGTTTTAAATAAAATGCAGCATTTTCCAAATTTTTTGTGATTGAAACTAAACAGGAACTGCTTTGATGAAGTGTTTATACTCCTTGAAGTTTTTCCTATTTTTTCACATTAAAAAAACTACTTCAAGGTGCTTAGACTGAGATCTAAAACATATTGAGAGGCGTCTGTCTCTAGTTTCAGCCCTCAGTGATGGAACGGCCTTCCTCATCATCAATTATTATTTAATGCTGTTTTATTTGTTGCTAATAAAGTTTAGTACTGTTCAACTCAAGTTGCTTTTTACTATTCTAGTGTTTATTATTCATTTTTGTTGATTTACATGAATGTATTTTCACAGTTTTAGTAATAATAATAGGGATGCACGATATAATCGGCCCCCTATCGGTATCGGCCTGTATTGGCCTTATAACTGAATATCGGACATCGGCCACCCCACCGATATTTAACCCGATATTTGATCAGCTGAGTTCTAAAGTCTAAAAAAAAAAAAAATATACTACTTCTTCTTCTTCCTCAAAAACTTCTTTTTTACAGACTTAAACTTCTAAAGACGAGGGAAAAAATATTGATACATTAAAATATCACAATATCTTCATATGCTGATATATTGCCATTTAAAAACATCATATCAATCTCTTATACTAATGAAATATTGCTATATGTCATCGTTATGCTACAAATTCCCCTGAAAATTCATGAAATTTTGCCATATTTTTATATGTTGAAATATTGACGCGGTATCGATCAATTTTACTAACAAAATCTCACAAGAATTTGCAAAATATCACGAGAGTTTGTAACAGAACGATTAAATTTCACGAGATTATGAAAGTAAAATAGATCGATACCGCGTTTTTAAAAATCTATTTGATATCAGCATATGAAAATATATTTGAGTATATTATTTTTCAAAGTGTCAGAAATGGATAACAAAACTGCTATTTTCAATGACTACTTATTTTTGTCCAGCTTTAACATCGGTATCGATATCGGTTATCGGCTACATGAGTTTTAAAATATCGGCATACCAGATATCGGCCAAAATCCCAATATCGTGCATCCCTAAATAATAATTTAACTTTATTGATCTCACAATGGAGAAATTACCTCTGCATTTAAGCCATCCCCTTGGGGAGCAGTGGGCTGCCATTGTGTGGCGCCCAGGGAGCAGTGTGGAGTTAAGGGTCTTGCTCAGGGACCCAGACTGCAGGCTGAAACTCAGAACCACTGGATTCCAAGCGCAATGCTCTAACCACTAGACCGCCACTCTACCTAGAAATACAATATGACTCTTAAGCAATTATTAATATAATTTGTTGCTTTTCCTCCAACTTCCTCTAAATAATGTGTTTGGTGTTTTTATGCCAGTCCTGTTATTTCTAACCTCTGTAAAACAATACATGTTACACCAATATGCAGAGGTGTCAAGTAACAAAGTACAAATACTTAGTACTAATACGCCACTGACCGATATGTATGAAAATACAATAAAAAAAAACTTTAAGGCTGAAAAAAGACTGATTGATCTAATCTTGAGCAAAAAAAAAAAAAAAAAAAAAGGATTTTAATGAAACTGCTGGTGGGGGGATGAGGCTATATATACTTTTCTATTTACTGCACAAACATCAGGAAATGTGTTAGTCTATTATGGGGCCAGTTTTGAAAACTCAGCTACAGGTATACAGTATAGAATTAAGTGCATCTCTTCATAAAGAGCAAACATACAAAGTTAACCTTGTTTAAAGAACAGGCTATGCTTTTTCAGGCCTCAGTTACCACTACACTGTAGGTTTGTTGACAGTAACAATAAGGGGCCAGTTTGCTGCTCCTTATTGTCCTGCAATTATTCAGGATTATCAATACCTAAACACATGTTAAAGTTTAACTTTTGACCTTAACACAAGGATTCAACTGATATATTGGTGTAATCCTCCAGGAAATAAACAGGAAAGCATAGAGGGAAACGTCTGAATTAGAAAAAAAAACATGTAAATAAAGATTGTAATACCAATATGTATATAAATATAAACTAAAGCTAAAGTAACTTCCTCTATAACTCTTCTGGCTCTCTATGCTAATTTCCAGTGCAACCGGTATATTAACGGTTGTCGGTTTTCTGTAAGAAAAGAAAACATTAAAATGTGGTTTTGTTGGGTGAAATAAAGGAATATGTTTGTATTGTGTTAGCGGTGGCTAATGTTAAATAGCTGGGGTTAGCTAACATCCAGATAAGCTGAGCTGTCAACCATTAGCTTCCACTGGACAGCTTCAACAGCGAAACACTCAAAGCAAATAAACACAAAGTCAATTTACGGTAAACGGAGATCATTGGATCCATTCATTTGGATGTGTCTTCTTTTCTTCAGCTTTATCCTGATATTTCAATTGGCAAAAAACCCAAAACATTCCTGTCGATTAGCTCGTGTTGCGTTCTAGGGCTGTCCGGACAACGCAGTGACTCACCAAGATCTCATTAAAACCAAAGAGTAAATATCATAATATTACGAGGAATAACACTAAAAAAAAATAAATTATCATTTTATTGAGAAGTTTTGTAATCAAATATAAGCTACCAGTAAAAATGTAATGTAAAGTAGTTAGCCCATACATGGTTATGTGTACTCCCCCCAACATATACACGGCTGCAATCATTTAATTTTGATTTAAATGTTAATTATATAAGACGAAGTATTATTAAATAAATCCGCACGGCCAAATATAACAAGACATGTTTAAGACATGTTTTTTTAAAGGTGACCAACGAGTCGCAGGTAAGCATAATTAGAAGTTACGAGCGCACTTGAAGGTAGCACAAGATGTCAACATCCGGGATGGAGACCTTCTTTCGCAAAGGATTATGGGGGCAGTAGTTTGTATGATGAAGAAAAACCTACACAAAATGTAAAGACAGAATTTATAGGGGTTTTCTTTGCAGCAAAAAAAGTAAGATTTGTTTCAAAAAGATTTTTTTGCATACATACATATATATATCTTTATATATATATATATATATATATATATATATATATATATATATATATATATATATATATATATATATATATATATATATATATATATATATATATATATATATATATAACTAAGAAATATCTTTTCAGCTTGTCTTTGTCTAATCTAAGTAATCTAGTTATATTCTAACCATACATTCCACTTCATAGCATTCAGAAAAACTATGTCCACTGACTAGTCAACTAAGTAACAGTGATATCAGGTGTGATTGTCAATATTAGAGTTTAAGTGTACATTTTGTCATCAAAATTAATCTGTTAAGACAGCTAGTAAAGAACTTTATTTTAGAAACAAATTTTAATGCCTAAACAGGTCACAGCATGTTTTAGTATTATGTTTCATATTAGATAGTTTTATAGAGTCAAGCAATACATTTTTTTCTGATATTTAAAGACCTTATACTATGAGGTGCCCCCAGGGACATAAATCAGAATTAACTTGCATATACACATATTAAATTACACTCTTCCATATAATATACTGAAAACCTCACACAAACACTAGTAAAAAGCTCTCACATAAACTAGTGAAAACATTGACCTCTTATATAATCTACTCAAAAGCTCTCATACAAAGTAGTGAGAACTGTTCATATAAACTGGTGAAAAGCTTTACCTTTCATACACACTACTAGAAAGCTTTCATATACACTATTAAAAAGCTCTCATATACACTACTAGAACGCTCTCATATACACTATTAGAAAGCTCTCATATACACTATTAGAAAGCTCTCATATACACTATTAGAATGCTCTCATATACACTATTAGAACGCTCTCATAAACACTATTAGAACGCTCTCATATACACTATTAGAACGCTCTCATAAACACTATTAGAACGCTCTCATATACACTATTAGAACGCTCTCATAAACACTATTAGAACGCTCTCATAAACACTATTAGAACGCTCTCATATACACTATTAGAATGCTCTCATATACACTATTAGAACGCTCTCATAAACACTATTAGAACGCTCTCATATACACTATTAGAACGCTCTCATATACACTATTAGAACGCTCTCATAAACACTATTAGAACGCTCTCATATACACTATTAGAACGCTCTCATATACACTATTAGAAAGCTCTCATATACACTACTAGAACGCTCTCATATACACTATTAGAAAGCTCTCATATACACTATTAGAATGCTCTCATATACACTATTAGAACGCTCTCATATACACTATTAGAAAGCTCTCATATACACTATTAGAATGCTCTCATATACACTATTAGAACGCTCTCATATACACTATTAGAAAGCTCTCATAAACACTATTAGAACTAGGGCTGCAACTAACGATTATTTTAAAAATCGATGAATCGGACGATTATTTTTTCGATTAATCGATGAATCGGACAAAAAATATTTTTTATATTAACCTCTTTATTCCAAAATAAACATTTTAGACAGAACAAACAAGCACACAAGTACAGGTTGCTCGTTAACTGTACTGGTGCAATATGAAAAATAAATGTTTGTGTTAAAACTACGCAAACTTACATGAGAAATGTAGCTGTACATCCACAAAATATAGGGTACTTTGTTTCATAAAGCGCAAAAAAAGACATTTTTGTTTTTAAAAGCCCCTAAGGGGTTCAAACAATAGGCCCCCCCATTTCAACAAATTAGTTTTTTTAGACTAGAAGAGTTCTGCCTTTTAAGACAGGAAAGTATAGCAGTTAAAGTTGCTGCTTGAGAAAATACTGAATCATAGAGATAAAAATAGCCCTGTGATTCAAATTATAAATTGTATTTGGAATAAAAATGTGCTAAAAAACACATCCTCCAAAGACAGATATTTACATGGGAATGTGGCAGATAATTAATTGACATATTACTGATCTTGCTGGATTTTATTCTGCTTTACTTCCATAAATTGCAGGATCTTCTTTACTTTAACTTTGCCAGAAGATTTAAACTTTAAAAGCCTTGCCCTCATAATTTGCAAGTTAATTTATTTATAAAGAAAATATAAACGCTGCTTAAGCTAATTCAAATGAAATTAAAGGTAAAATAAGTAGCCAACCTTATCACTGTCTGTAACCTACTAACACGGTAAGGAAAGCATCAGATGAGCTACCTGAGAAACTAACGTTACGTTTCCCCACTTTAAAACCAAACAAACATGGTGCTTCCGTGCCATGTTAATTTCTTTTGAAAAAAGTTGCATGTTATCACTTTTTTCGCTTTACAAAGTGCAGGCTATTTTAATTATTGTGATCAATTTGCGCCGTCCATCCCAGTGCATGCGCGCTTCATTTGCAGTCTGGACGCTGAGGGTCTGACTGCAGCGCTTCCTGCGGGAAAACGCGGTTGGGGTGGGGGAGGCGCCCCACGGCAGAGTAGGAACGATACATGCTTTCACGTAAGAGTCTCCAAAAGCCGCCAGTGACACCGTAAAAAGTCGCCAGATTTGTCGCTAGAACGCTTTTTAAAAAAATAGTCGCTGGAGGGGTCTGAAAAGTCGCTGAGTTGGCAACACTGCACCTGCGGCGCTGACTCGCTCTGCCTTTTTTTTTTTTTCTTCCTCTTTCAGTCAAGAGGCAGTGATGACGGCGCGGCGGATGACGCAATAATCGCGCGACACAACTAATCGATGATGAAATTCGTTGCCAACGCTTTTAAAAGTCAATTTTTATCGATTTTATCGATTCGTTGTTGCAGCCCTAATTAGAACTCTCTCATAAACACTATTAGAACGCTCTCATATACACTATTAGAACGCTCTCATATACACTATTAGAACGCTCTCATATACACTATTAGAATGCTCTCATATACACTATTAGAACGCTCTCATAAACACTATTAGAACGCTCTCATATACACTATTAGAACGCTCTCATATACACTATTAGAACGCTCTCATAAACACTATTAGAACGCTCTCATATACACTATTAGAACGCTCTCATATACACTATTAGAACGCTCTCATATACACTATTAGAACGCTCTCATAAACACTATTAGAAAGCTCTCATATACACTATTAGAACGCTCTCATAAACACTATTAGAATGCTCTCATATACACTATTAGAACGCTCTCATATACACTATTAGAAAGCTCTCATACACACTACTGAAAAGCTATTAGCGGATTTCAGTTGAAACGGAAGGTGTTTCAGTTGAAACGGAAGGTGTTTCAGTGAAACAGGAAGGACCGTCATTACACCGGAAGTTGTTTTAAACGGAGGTCATTCTGGCTAGCTCCGTACATTTTGTGCTATCTCCGGCCGAAATTGTATCAAATAAAATGATTGACACTATTAGTGTATATGAGAGCGTTCTAATAGTGTATATGAGAGCATTCTAATAGTGTATATGAGAGCTTTCTAATAGTGTATATGAGAGCGTTCTAATAGTGTTTATGAGAGCGTTCTAATAGTGTTTATGAGAGCGTTCTAATAGTGTTTATGAGAGCGTTCTAATAGTGTATATGAGAGCGTTCTAATAGTGTTTATGAGAGCGTTCTAATAGTGTATATGAGAGCGTTCTAATAGTGTTTATGAGAGCGTTCTAATAGTGTATATGAGAGCTTTCTAATAGTGTATATGAGAGCGTTCTAATAGTGTATATGAGAGCTTTCTAATAGTGTATATGAGAGCGTTCTAATAGTGTATATGAGAGCTTTCTAATAGTGTATATGAGAGCTTTCTAATAGTGTATATGAGAGCGTTCTAGTAGTGTATATGAGAGCTTTTTAATAGTGTATATGAAAGCTTTCTAGTAGTGTGTATGAAAGGTAAAGCTTTTCACCAGTTTATATGAACAGTTCTCACTACTTTGTATGAGAGCTTTTGAGTAGATTATATAAGAGGTCAATGTTTTCACTAGTTTATGTGAGAGCTTTTTACTAGTGTTTGTGTGAGGTTTTCAGTATATTATATGGAAGAGTGTAATTTAATATGTGTATATGCAAGTTAATTCTGATTTATGTCCCTGGGGGCACCTCATATTATACATCTCTTTTACTCCCTAAATAATTTGAAATAAAGTTTAATATACAAGTATCAAGAGGAACCTTATGGCTGCAACCATAATGGTCTGCTGGGCTATCATCTAGCTCTGTGATTTCTATTCCCAGAGCTATATTGGCAAACAGCACTCACACACACAAAAAGATCTTACCCATCTCAACGGTCTGGCTTCTGATCTGGTCTCTGAATTAAAACTATATTTTGAAAACTAATATTCAGGTATACCATATGGAGAATCAGGTTACCTATTTTTTTCTACAGAAAAAAATATTATTTAAGGGGTAGAATAATTAAGGGATAGAACTTAAAGGAAAGAAGCTGCTTCCTGTGCCTGCATGACTCAGACCCAAAATAAAGCAGGCCAAGCCAGAACAACTACTTTCAGCATTTGCGATTTATATGTG